AGGAAGGGGTCCATGCTTCACGCCCCCAAAAGCGTGAGAAGGCCGTGGGGTCGATTTCAGGGCCTCCACATTGGTCAATGAGACCTGCGCCCAAAAAGCGGATATCGCGGAAGGCACTGGCCGATGTGGCCGTGCTGTTCGGTTTGAAAAGAGATTCCGCCCTTCAACTTGCTGCACCCTTTAAAAGTTGCCTTAGCTTCGATTTGCTGAAATGAACAGTGGCTATTTTCGCTCTTGGTTTTGTAGGGAATCAATTTCACTGTTGAAGATATGCTTTCATTTTTTCCAGCATCCCTAAGGCTCCTGATGCTTTTTGGGCCCTGTAGAATGGGTTGTGTTCAGGAATTGGTCCGGGTTCTTCATTGGACGGCCCATAAAAGGGGCCAGCATTGGAGGCTCCGGTCATGAGCCTTAAGGGAGGTACAAAAAGACTTCTTTTCTATTCCCCAAAAGCCATCCTCATGAGGTACCTACGGACCCTCCCGGCACCCTTAAATCTGGAGCCTCTTAATTGGTGGTTTGGATTGGTGGAGGATCAAGTTGGAGTACTGCCCGAAAGAACGACATGTGCTTTCCAATGGGCTTGGAGCACGAAATCTCAAGGAACGGGTCCGCATGGGAGTCGGAAGCTACGTCGCGCGCCCGGTCATAGGGGGCCATTTGCAGGGACCTTGAACCGCTTGGTCAGGGCCGGTGTGGAGCCAAATCAAATTTACCCCAGTTGTTTTTAAAGGAATTGTATCACTACTTGACCTGTTCTCATCTTTTCATTTTACCATTGTTTTAAGGGAATGTATCACTCTTTTCCCGGGCTTAAGCGCAAGGCAAATGGAAGCCAGGGTGCAGTGCCTAGCACAATTCCGTGATCTCTTTGTGGACATTTCCATTGATACCCAGGCGGCCAAGCGCATCACAAGGAAAATCCTGCTCAGCACGAACAGCAGAGTCATGCAGGGAAGGCACCGTTGATTTGTCAATGCTTGTGAGTACAACTTGCAAATGACACTTTATTTTTGTTTGGGGGGGCTTGCATCAAGCGCGTAAACCAAAAGACGAAGCTGTGCATGTGTGTTTCAATGGCTTTCTTGATCTTTCTTGCTTGGCACATGGGGAGGAGCTGGGACCTATGAAGACTCTGCAAGATCCTTGGGGCCAAGTTAACAACTCGTTACGCCACCTAGGCTATCTCCGCTCCAAATACTATTCTTTGAAAAACCGGGTTTCGTGCGTAAATCAAACCACTACTCCAAATACCCGGTTTTTCATGGTATGTTGGAAAAACTTGTTTTCCAAGGTAAATACCTTCTTTTCGAGTAGAGGGCCGACATGATACCCTGCAAAAAGCGGGCATTTGGAGTAGGGGGCATGTTAACATGCTGGTGAAAAAATAATGCGCTTTCCCTGCTGGTGTCCCTGTAATAACCGACCAAAAGAGGCTACCCATGGTGCCCCTCAACAAATTGTTCCCCCCATACAAAAGGCCCAGGTTGAACCTACCTGGAGTCTCCATGACCCTTCAAAAATGGGATCCGTGACCCCTATATTTTGGGTAATGACCCCATGTTTAAAGGGTCAGATGGAGGCTCCAGCAGGCACAGGCTGGAAGCTCGTCACCGGGGCCTTTCGCAAACGATCCGCCCCGAAAACCGGCCCAGTCTACCTGGGTGAGGCCTTGAATTGACTTTGTGGCTGCAAATGGCCCGTGGCAGCTTTCTTCAAGAGAGAACATATTTCTTGATGGGCTGTGTGGTTTACGGGTCAACACCGGGAAGAGGGTTTTGTTTGGTGAGTGTTGGTATGGTTTTTGAATCCTTCCCATTGGTTTGGAGATGGCTCCGGCCACTGTCTCGAGCACTCATGCCCACCCGCCTGCCACACGCCTCCGCCGCCAATTTTATTTTGCGTGGCTCATTGACCAGGTTCAGTCAAGAGATATCCGCCTGGGCTCTCGAACTTTCCTTTGAACATGGACCTCACACCATACTTTTGTTGGGCAGATGGGTAGTTGTTCTTCGGGTTTGGCAGTCTATGGCACTTGGAAGGGACATGTCACCATGGAAGGGTGGGGCCCAGAATTCAAGCACCAAAACTGCTGGTTTGTCACTAGTCACGTTACCTTTGGGCTATTTTGGGCCATCTGACAGCCTTGTGCACCATTTCACACCGATTTGCAATTAAACCAACCCTCCTCAACCACAAAAACAATTCAATCTTGCTGTAAATCAGACAATCTGTATGCCCAACATGGCTTTCAAAATGCATCCACCGTAGGGAATGCGCTTTGTCTGATGTCAGCCAAAGGCAGGAAGCATGTGGCTTGGCTGTCGGTTTTGCAGCAACTGGTTGCAACTGAGCGAGAGTTCCGGAAGCCGGTCTTTAATAATTTTTGGGTTTGGACCAGGTTTGGCCGATCCACTGGATCGGTCAAGAAAAGGGGAGCCTTCGTTTTTTCGCTTGCCCGTGACCAAGGGAATCTAGCATGAATGTCTTGTTCAGCTTCTGGCAGGACAAGGGAATCTATCACTAGTTGCTGGAAATATGTGTTTTGGGTTTTCAGGGGCTGCATGCGCAAATGGAGGAAACAGCTGGCAAAGGGTTGTTTTTTTGTTTTTTTTCTTGAAAGGGACATCTCAAGTCGGGGGATCCTCTCGGGCCCCGAACCATGGCATTGGCTTTAAACTGGTTGCAAGTGAGCTTTCTCACTTCCTGACTTCCTAGACTTTAGTCACGTTTTCAGAAGACCAGCTCAGAGATGTCAACAAAAATGGTTACTCTTGTGGGGCCATCCCCTTCTTCCCTTCCAAAGGCTTCCGATTCCCCGCTTCAGGTGTCACGTGATTCGACCCATTTCCCAAGGCAAACAGCCCGATAGGCTTTTAGTGGGGTGGGTGCAACACGAAGAATTCCCTCTACTTTCACCCAACTGCAATGTTCAGGCTCTTCAGACCCTGGCTGCCATCTGCTCAAGCCGAGGAACTGACTCACACTTTGCGCAGGTCACATGTTGACTCAAGCTCCCAAACAGTGCAAATTTTAGTTTTGGCTTGCGATCGATTTGCTCATGATGATCCCATCATGACTTGCTCGGGGATCCCAGGGTGTATACCAGTCACTTTCAGCTCGCTTGAGGCATCTAGGAGGGGCAGGAGGCAGGTGTCGCTAAGGCAGCCAACTTCCGTGCAATCCAACAAACCAAAACGGGGTCACCCAAAAACCCAAAAGCCAACTACCCCCTAATTATACAGACAATCCTACAAATTCACTTGGACCCCCAAACGAGGTCACCCAAAAGAAACAAGCCAACAGCAGATTCCTCAAAAGGAATGGATTTTGTAGCGGGCCCCCCAAAACAAACGCCCCCTAAAAGTTTGATATTTTTGGTGTTTTGTGAGATTTTGGGGTTCCCCCAAAACGAACGCCCTCTAGAAAATCTGGAATTGTTGGTTCCCTGAGTGAAGTCGTAGGGTCAACGGCGCCCTGCGACCGCCCGGCGACCCCGGTGCCATGGTCGTCGAGTTCCATGAGCCGCCGGCAATTCCTTGCAAAGCGGGGCCAACGACGTGCCGAGGCCGGCGGCAGAATGTTGAGATCACCCCCCCAAAAAAAAATCAGCCCATACCTTGGGGGCCAATAACTCAAATGTGCGGGCCGGGGGATGGATCCAGTTTTTTTTTGTTCTTCTCAGGTTGGGGGCCTTTCTGCGAGGGGTTCAGTTGGAACCCTTCCGACTCCTCGCAAGCTGGGGGAACCCAACTCGGCCTCCCGAAACACTCCACGAAAAAGTCCGACGCCGCGTGGCTTGCACTGCCTTTCACTTGGGGCTGGCCCATTTGGAACAAAATCGGCGGCAAAAGCGGTGCGGGTCCCTTTTGCTTCCCCACGACTGGGGGCTTAGGATGCGGGGGGGCCTTTGGAGAGGCTTGGAAGTGAGCCTCCGGCCCGCGAAAGCTCGGGAACTGCCTTCGAAGGAAGTGTCCGGCGCGTAAAGCAAAGTCCTTCGCCAAGGGTGCCACAATCCTGGACCCCCAAAGGACCCCTTTTTTCTGCCTTTGGCCCCAAAAAAAGAGGCACAAAGGCAGAAAGGGGGTCCAGGATGTCAACTCTTCGACGATTTGGACATATTTGGACCATTTTCCTTCCTCAGAATTACTTTTTTGCTTTTTTGGAGTCCCCTTTGTTTTCCACTAACCAGGCAAAAATATATACATTTTCCCTGGGGTCCCAATTCCAGCCCATTTTCTTAGCCTCCTAAATCCAGTACTTACGTGGGGTGTGCTGTTGTGGGTCGTGTGGAAGGGAATCCGGAAGGAAACCCACCGGAAACTTTCTCTGGAACGTTCTGGAACCCTCTGCACCCCAAAGTGTCCCTAGGCATTGAGCAAACTGTAGGGCTTCACCGCCATGGGCTTCCTAGACTTTAGTCACTTTGCGGGTTTTCCGACGATTTTAGTGGAAATACTCCCCATCTCACCTCCTAAGATATTGGATGTTAGTCCTTTTTTGGGTTTGGACCAGTGGAAATCATGCTCCTGGTTACTTTTCTTGACTGACCCACTCCATGACTCCATGGGACGTGAGCCATCATTTGACACATACCCCCTACTCAAAATACCCGCTTTTTTCCAGTGCGAAAACCCTCCATTCTCAACTTACCTAGAGAAGTGTTTTGTTTGAACGCATGTTGGAGCCAGACAGCTGATCAATGTTAGGGGAAATCCAATAACTGGACCTGGTTTTCCGTGGTACCTCCTTTTTTATACCAAACCTTTTTTTTAGCAGAGGATCGACACTTGATACCAACTGAAAAAAAGCCCGGGTATTTGGAGGTGATCCGGGGGGTACCCGCTTTTTTCAGAGTATCATTGGTCGACCCTCTACTAAACAAGGTTTCGGTATTTTCCGTGGTTGCCCCCAGGGTTTCCGAAAAAGCTATTGAAAAAGGCCGGGGTATTTGGAGGTTCCGGGGTAGGCCTGGGTTCGTCGAATAATCCCCCAGGCCGATGCCGGCAGCCGAAGCCACGCCTTGCGACTTGCGGCAAGGCGCTCAGACCATTAGCGCGCGCGGGCGCCGAGGGGCCTGGCAGGACGGACTGAGACACTTCGCGGGATGTTGGGGTGGAGTTGCCGTCTAGCTGTGCCTTGGAGCCGCCAAAAAGGCCGTTGACTTCCCCAAAGACCCCCAAAATTTGGCCGTTCCCCAACCCCACCCCACCCAAAAAAACATAGGACACCAAAGAATAAGGTCTTGGGATGCGGGGAGTTTAGGGTTGGCGCCCAGCCCTTTTTGGGGGTGCGTTTTGGAGGGAAATGAAAGGAACGCCGACAGACGCCGCCCAAGCTGAAAGTGGTTAGACTTGCGGAGTCGGGCTTCCCGCGGGTTTTTTGGTTTGAAATGACCGGAGTTGGTGTCCCTTTGCTGGGCACCGATTTTTTAGTCATGGCCCCAAAAGGTTTGGATCTGGATTTGAGGCCTTGGTGCTTTCAGAGGCGAAATGGCAGCCCCTAACCACCAAACCACCAACCCAAGCCACAAAATCAGTGGGAAGCTGACTAAGGCGCATGACCGGAGCCTATGCAGGCTGTCGGGCCGACCAATTCCTCAAGGGCCCGGAAAGAAAACAACCCATTGTGAAGATCGGGAGCCTCAATTCTCGGTCCCTTTGTCAACTGAGTTGAGGATTCCACTGCGCCAAGAAGCAGCCCAGAGCCCTGCCTGCATCGCCAAACAAGCAATGTAAAGATTATTTTTCATCCACCCATGCACTTGCACGACGTGACCGGTAACCCCTTCAAGTAGACAAGTTCGCCCCCTGACTTCTTCTTGGGCCTTCTTGGGGCGTTTGTGGAAGAAAGGGTTCTAGGTGGTACACTCGCGCTCTGCGTAAGTTTTTTCATTTGTTTACTCCCATGGTTGACTTTGTCATCTTTAGATGTTGTTCCGGTAGTGGTTTGTTTCTGGCCGGGGAAACTCAGCAATTCAGTTTAGCAAAGGCCCACACAGCTTCAGGTCCTCAAATCTGTCTGCCCGGATTGGCCGCAGCTGCATCCTTGTTGGCTTCCCTTTTGGCAAGTTAAACCATCCCTGTGCCACCCTTTCGCCCCATGATGTAGGCAAGTGCACTTTTTTGAGGCAGATGTGCGGGTGCAAGTGCCTGTTCTTCGGATTGCTGGATTCAAGCCATAGATGACCTCCGGACTGGAGGTTTCAAAGGAGTTTGTCAAGCCAACCTGTTTTACTTTGAGACCACTTCGTTCTTTTGTTTTCATTTCATCATCTGGTTCTTTGTTCCGCAGGTTTACAAGACAACCATGCAATGTTCACCGACGACTCGTTTATCTCTTGGTCATAACTAGTTCCCCCGCGTTGGGTTCATGGACCCCTGTATAACTATATTCCCAGGCGGCCAAATGGAACACATTTTGACAAAGCCCTCGCCGTCAGGAGGCCCTCTCACTCTTCCAGCACCTCTCCGCGTGTCGCGCGGCGCCGGACCTGGTGTGCTGGAATTGCGCCCCTCGGATCGCTTGGGGCAAAGCGTGCTTTGCGCGAGCAGCGGGTGTGACTTCCCGAGCCATGTGTCATGTCAGGGAGACAATTAGGGGAAGTTCCAAACAACCCCTTACACCCAATACCCCGCCTTTTTATACTAGGTCCCCCAGTGCCCTTTTACCCTGTTTCTGGGGAGGGTTCCTCTAATAAAATAGACTACGGCCAAAAAAAAAAAGAAGTACCCTTGTTCTAACCTCTCAAGCCTGGACCCCCAAAGGACCCCCAATTTTTTTCTGCCTTTGTACCCTCTTTTTTTGGGGGTCCTTTGGCAGAAAAGAATCGGTCCTTTGGGGGTCCAGGCTCTCAAGTCTGGAGGACCTACTGTGGATGGTTGCGAAATCCGCTTCTCGCACCACTTGGAAACCATGGTTGAAACCATTGCTTATTGGAAGTTTACAGGGGAACCCCGGGTTCCGTACATGGCGCAGGATTTCGTCCATCCACAGGATTTCGACCCACGGTATTTTTGGGAAAACCTTGTTTTCCATGGTAAATACCTCCTTTTTTTGTAGAGGGTCGACATCCTACCCTGAAAAAAGCTCGGGTATTTGGAGTAGGGGGTCCTTTGGGGGTCCAGGAAAAAAGCAACTTCAGGATAGACTCCATTTAAACCCAACAGGGGAAAAAGAACCTGGACCCCCAAAGGACCCTTTTTTCTAACCTATATCGGCCGAGGCGATCAGCGCCTGCGCTCGCGTGGGCGCCTGGCGCCGCAGCGGCCAGGCCTTGTCGCAGCTGCGAGGGGCGAGGCTTCGGGCGGATGTGGTCTCCTACAGCGGCGGCATCACCGAGCCTTGGTGAAACCGTGGTGGCTCCCAGTCATTCCCTCAGCCAAATTTTTGGCTCCTTTTAGGGTTTAGTCAGCCCACTCAAGGTGGAACTTTTAGCCTGAAATCCCCGGAAAAACGGCACCAAGCCGAATAGCTGGGCAGAGACCCCAAAGCTTTCGGCTGGAGAGAGATATTTCGTCTTTTTCCGGTAGAATAATGAGAAAGGTACCTGGACCAGCAGAAACTACCCGAAGAACAAACTTGTGATTGCCGACTAAAATGACGGTTGAATCCCCTCAAACGAATTACCTTGAACATTTGCTGATTGCCCTTAAAAAACAAGCTCAGGTGATATCCCCAACAGCATGCGGTGCTCTCTTTAGTGCTCGCACCACCCTGCAGCCCTTGCAGAACCTCGTGGAACCCCCGTGGAACCCTTACCTCAGGGCCGCCCCGGACCACCCCTGAGCCTATCTGGGCTGAGACCCCAAAAATTCCCTTTTTGGGGAAGTCGTCGGGTCCAGGTGGGCCACTTTCTGCGGACGCCCCGAGGCCTGCGAGGCTCACTGGTTACGAGCGCTACATTTGCTCCGCTCGGGGGCTGAAGCGGCGCTGGAAAGCGACGTGGTGAGTCTCCGCGGCAGCAAGGGCCTTCCTTTTTGTTTTGGTTTTTGTTGATTTATTTGTTTTTCTTTCGGTTTTCGGTTTGTCTCACTCCCCTGTAACTTTTTGTTTGTTTTTGTTTTCGGTTTGTCTCACTCCCCTGCAGCTTGTTTGTTCTTCTTCTTTTTTCCGGTTTTCGGTTTGTCTCGCTCCCCTGTAACTACCTTGCTGGGTTCCTGGACCAAAAAACTCTTTGGGGCGATCATTTGAGCGGCAAACAAAGAAAAGCTTCCGGTGGTCGCCTTGTTTTAGTCTTCGAGTTCTTGACAAATTGGTTTCATTGATCTCCGGGTCCCTGAAAAATGGTTGCTTGGTCCGCCATTGGAATCGAACCCCCCAAACCCCAATGTTTGTTGGGGGATGTTTGTTGCACCCCCTACTCCAAGGGTACCATGTCGACCCTCTACAAAAAAAGAAGGTGTTTACCTTGGAAAGCCAAGTTTTCTCAAAAAATACCCTGAAAAAACAGGTATTTTGAGTAGGGGGCAATCTAATATTACGGTGCGGGAGATCACCGTTTTCGTGCTGGGTAGTTTGAGAAATTCGTGGAATGCCCCCATGATTGTTTGTTCATGGTTGAGTATAGAGTATGCCTGCGCCAAATGTGTTTTTTTGAAGGTATCATGTCAAACCTTTACTAAGTAGGAGCTATGTACCATGGAAGCCCGATCGGTTCTTCAAACAAGTATGGAGTAGAGGGTGCTTGGTCCTCCGTTGGCTACCTGGAGCCTCCATGACCCTAAAACCCCAAGCCCTAGGCCCTAAACACTAAAACCCCCAGGCCCGAAACCCTAAACCCAAAAAAAATGCTTGGTCATGGACCCATTTTTGCTATGGGCCGTGGAGACTCGACCCTTAGTTTGAGGGCCGGAATCGGCATTGCGCCTCCGGCGCCCCTCTCCCCGGCTGCCCAAGGATGCGGAACGGCGCGCTGAGGAGCTGCGCTTTGGCAAAGATCGAGGCCCGGCCGCAGTTTGGGGCGTTCCTTGCGGCTTTTTGGCACCCGGTGCGCGAGGAGAATTCGCGGCGGCCAATCAGGTAACTCCTTTTTTTAAACCAGACAGCTCCAAATACCAGCTATTTTTCTAGTTGGGATGTTGGTGAAGACGTTGTTGTTCATATCAAGTCCCTTCATTTTTAGTGGAGGGGTGACAGAATACCCGATCAAAAAGCGGGTATTTGGAGTAGGGGGTTGGGGCAGTACAAGGCAAACTGTCAGGTGACCAGTAATTAAGTGGTCGGATTGGTGGCTTGGGGGCTATAACCCCTGGTTCTGGCAGAGGGTACCTCCTTAGCCAGCAAACCACCAACTAAGAGGATGCTGAAATACACAACAACACCTGCACACCAGCTGATTTAGTGCTGCATAAGGAACCTCCCTTTTACTTTCAGTTGAACATGTCCCTTTGAACACATAAATTTCGGGTACTTGGTGTTCTTCCTTTGAAATGTTCCCCACGCAATAGACCACCCGAAGCGGATTCCGGGCCTTTGATTTTTGTTGTTTTACTAAAGAGGCCGAGCAGCAATCAAGGGATGCGCTTGTTCCAACACTTGCCTTTGCAGTGAAACCCGGCCTTGCTAATCACACACAAGAACAGCGAGCCCCTTGCATCAGCCAAGGGCCAAGCCCGTTCGCGAAGACGGGACCCCCTCTAAATCCTGGAATTGCATTACCTCTTAAAAACACAACTTTTCAACTTTTTGGGGGTAGCATGGACTATATGTCTGCAAAAGATTAACTTCCCCAGGGCCTGGAGTTTTAAGGGGTAAGATTGCATTGGCCCGATTTTCCCCGGACCCAACTGGGCGGTGCAACATGCGGGGCCTGAAAGAAACAAGACTTGGACGCTTCCCGGGCTCGGGGGCTCTCCGAGATTCACCGATTCCATTTGTTCTGTTTTCAACATTGACTCAAAATGGCGGTGTTCAACGTTGGTTCCCTTCTTGAAAGCCAACAAAACGAGGTACCCTAGAAAAGAGGTGCGAAATAGCCCACTCAAAAAAAAACGACCTACCAAAAAGTTAGAGTGTGTTTCTTTCAGACCCCGTATTTTGCACCAAGAATGACTTGAGCCGGCGTGTTGCGACAAGGAAGGCATCTCCGGCCAAACGGAGACATGGCGGTGGGCGGTGCTTCTGCTTGGGAACAGCGCGAACACTGTGAGCTTTTTGGCAGCAGCTTCGCCCCCGGCTCAAGACTCACGTGTTGCCAGTTGGTCATGATTTTGAGGGTTTCTGGGGGTCCAAGTCAGCAAGTGCTTGGTTATTTGCCTTTAACCCGCCACCGGGGAAGGTGACTTTGACCATAAAAGAATGAGGCTGGTATGGTTGGGCATGTCAACCCTTGACCAAAACAAAGGGGATCGGTATTTGCCCTGAAACTTTCAGCCTGAAAGACTAGGTTATCCCAACAGAATGCCAACTAAAAAAGGCGAGCATGTGGAGTAGGGGGTGCATTTTAAGGATGAATTTGGATGCCGTCTAGATGCCATGCATCAGGATAAGACTTTTGCGATGGTGCTCAGGAAGCCAACAAAAGTGTCCACGGTGTGCAAGTTGTTTTGAGGGTAGCCTCATTCAGCTTGAGGGAAAAAACACCATGTTTGGAGTCTCCATATTTTCACAGATACCCATGGATTGTCAGCCTTCCGGTTCTGGCATTGACATGTGCGGTTTGCAAGCGAGTTCTTACTGCAGGTGCCGGTCACTTAGTAGGTACTTGGCTGTGAAGGGCCGAGTTAGTAAGTTGTAACAGCAACCTAGGCTATCACCCAAATGGCAAGACAATATGGGTATGTGTCAAGGTTGGCCCCCTCCCAAAACACAAAATAATCTGGCATCGCGTCCCCCCCAAGAAAAAGCAAAGAAGAAGAAGGAGGAAGAAGAAGAAGAAGAACAATAATATGAAGAACAACAAAAGAAGAAGACACAACAATAATAATAATAAATATAAAGAAGAAGAAGAAGAAGAAGGAGGAGGAGGAGGAGGAGGAGGAGGAGCAAAAAAGGAACAAGAAGAAGGAAGAAGAAAAGGCGCCCCTTCGGCCTCACGCCGAGTCCGCGGAGCCCACTTGACAAAAAGGCGCCCCTTCGGCCTCACGCCGAGTCCGCGGAGTTCGCCGAGTCGAGGCTTCAACTCGGCGGCCAGCGCCTGCGAGAAGTGCAGCGCCTGGCGCGTGGCGCTGCGCTTCGCGGGAAGTGGGCGACAGGACGTGATCACCTGCAACGCGCCTTGGGCATCTGAGAGGAGGGGGGGGGATGTGGCGGTCCAAGCGGGGGTTCTTTGTGCGTTCTAGTCAAAGGAGCCCTAAGGAAACTTTGTGAAAGCCTGGGGGCGCCTTGGGAATGCCTAGGGGCGGGGAGAAAGGCCCCAAGGGGTGGGCTCCAAAGAGGAAACCCTAAGAAAATCTATAGGAAGGGAATCGTAAGGAATGCCTAGAAGGGGAGGGGGGGTCCAAGGGGGGTGCCCTACAAAACCTGAAGGAAATCTAGGCACACTAAAATTTTAAGGAATTTCTAGGGAACACGAAGGAAGTTCTAGGAAGCTCTAGGAATCCCTTGCAAATGCCTAGGGGCGAGGAATCCCCACCATGGATGGTTGCGAAATCCATTTCGCAGCACCCAAGAAAAACTCTGGGAGAAGGATTGCCCTGTACAGTTTCAACCAAGCGTCTTGGTTTCCGGTTTCAAGGTGCAGGATTTTGTCCAGCCATAAGGGGGGGTGTCAGGGGGGTGGGGGGCTCCCAGGAAGGAGATCTAGGGAAAAGGCTTTCGGAGAGGAAGTGCCAAGGAAGCCTGAGGAATCCTGGAAGTTTTTGTTTTTGTTTTCGGGGTGGGAGGGGCGGGGGGGGGGGGGTGTCCAAGCGGTAGCGGGGGTTCGGCAAGACTTTCTGAACCCTGAAGGAAGTCAAGGAAACTACAACGGGCCTTGGGCCTTAATGTTCACCCCGGATGAAGCAGAACTTCTAGTTGATTTTGATTGGGGGGTGTCCCCTTGTAGTGGAGATTCAGACCACCTTTGGAGGGAACACCCCCCTAATAATCTGACGGGTTTATTAATCCTGGGACAACATTACCCAAAGGGGGGGGGGCTCCAAGGGGGGCGCTATAGGAACACTAAAACCTAAAGGAAGTTCCAGGGAACACGAAGGAATCCTAGAAGTGTTAGGTCCTCGACTAGTGCCCTTTTACCTGTTCTTTTGGTTGGGAGGGTTCCCCTACTAAAATAGACTACAGAAAAAAAGTTGGTACCCTTATTCTATCCTCTCGGACCTAGCCTACAAAACCCCAAGGAAACCTGGGACACAAGGCTTTCTAAGGATCCGAAAGGAAATGTCAAGGAACCCTAAAAAATCCTAGAAGCGTTCTTCTCGGGGGGGGGAGAAGTGGTGTAAGGCTTTTAAAAAAAACCCTAAGGAAGTTTAAAAATACCCAGGGGGAGTAGGGAATACCCACTACAACAAGCCCTCTCTGGCCCTAAGGCAAGAGGCGGGTTGGGTTGGTTTGGGGTTCCCTAAAATCCGGGCCAGTCAAATTCAGGGAACCTAGGGCCCCAAGAATTTTAGGGAACCCTCAAAAAAACCTAGGGCTCTCAACTCCCCCCTCATTGTGCCTACTTAAAGGGGCGATCAAGTACTTCGTGGAAAGCCAGTTTGGTTATAACTTATGGAACGGAGACTTATATCATCTTAAAACCTTGGTAAGTGGGTTGTAAACGAGGCTTATGTAACCTGCCCCTTTGAGTAAGGGGGAAGGGGAGAGGGAGGGAATGGGAGAGGGAGGGGTCCATCCCTAAAAGTCCTAAGGAGCCCTAAGCCCCACGAGGGAACGGCCTTTTGGGTTTAAAACCCAAAAGGCCCCGTGCCGAAATTGGGTAGCTGTTCTGAGGTCCTTGTTGGTGTTGCTTCCCAAGTTCCATTGATCGCCATTTGGCTCAAGACACAATTGAGGTTCAAGATCTGATGTGTGACTGCATACATACGTGATCGGCATTGAGAGCGAAAACACTTCGCTTGCGCTGCATTTGTCAGGACTACTGTTGTAACTATCATTCCTTCTCCCTTACAACGTTTACACGGGTTCGGCTATAACGGCATCGTCCGTATACACCTTTCTACGTGGTTGGTATTACAGCTTGAGGGTTCGGTGCATAGCGTCCCACGGGACGTCACCTTGCCGTCTCTTGACAGGTTATCAGCCGTAACTACAAGCTCTACACTGGACTGGGAGACAGCTGGTTTATTGCGGGTACAGGGACAATAAAGGAACGATAACCTACACAGTACAATGGCGTCTTCGGCGAGCCCAAGTACTGCAACTTTTGGGAACAGCAGCTCAGAGGGATCCAATGGATTGATGGCTCTTCCTGCGGTGATGGATATGGTTGCAGATTCACAGGATGAACCTGGGAGCGGAGGTTCCGCGCTATTCAGCGACATATCTACTCCCACAAGATCATGGAAGCAGATCGATGTTCATCAGGAGTCGAAGAAAAGAGAATCCCCACCGAGAAGATCATCATCTTCGCCTGCGACACCACGGACGTCGCAGAAGGGCGTGAGATCGACATCGAAGGGTGGGAGGTCAAAATCACCCACCAGTGCAGATTTTCGCGCCGTGATCAAAGAGAAGAATAAGATGGAGGTGGAGATCGGGGAATATCAGAAGACACTTGATGAAATGTCGGCAGCAATGGCGAATCTTAACCAAGAAGACTATGGAAGCACCATCCGGATCCAGGAGCTGGAAAGACGATGCGAGATTGCCAGCAAGCAGTCGGGACATCTAGTGAGTCACCACCAACACCACATGGCTGAGGCATGGCGCAAGTTTGAGGAAGAAGCCCAACAGATGCGCAAGGTGGAAATGAACGCATTTCAGTACGGGGAGAAGAAAGACATGGAGTCGAATATTATAATGCAACAGATGAGGCAAGCTGAAGGAACTATCATGGAGCAGAAGCGGGAGATTGCATTGATGAAATCCTACATGGCAAGCGAGAAGTCGGCCGCGCAGGAATCAGCTATACGTGCAAATCAGATACACCGTGAGGCTTCACAACAGATATCAGTTTATCAGCAACAGATCAGAGGCATAGAATCTTCTACATCTATCGAGAAGTTCAACGAGGAGGAGATGGTCCAAAGTCTGAAATCACAGTTGGAGCATGCACTCGTCAAGCGCCCCGAGACGTACTCTTTGGAGGACTCCAGGGAACAGCTGATGGCGAGGCTGAATGACGTTACAGTATTTGCGGAACAGGAATCGAAGAGAGCAGATTGCTTGCTTCGCGAAAAAGAAGAGATCGTCAAACAGTATGAGTCCGACGTGTCGATGAAGGACCAGATGATTGCTGTCGAAGGTGGTCATCGTCAGGATGCGATCTTGGAGTTAGCCCAGGTCAAAGAAGAGAAACAAGAGGAACGGTGCACGATGGACGAGAAGTCGAAGGAGGCTGAGTACTGGAGATTGACAGCTAAGGGAATGTACGATGAGTACCTCGAGGAGATGCATGAGCTTCAGAGACAACTGAAAGAAAGAGAGGCGACGCTCAAGCAAGAAGAGAGTTTTGTACGCCAACTCGATGCTGACAACGAGGAACTACGTGCACACAAGAAGCTGGAGACACAGGAAGCCTCCAGCAGCAAAGATGGACATCGTGAACGAGCAGTAGTGAAACGCGCTGAGGGAGGAACCCAGGCTAATTCAAATAGGATAGACAAGAAGGTGGCTGGGTCAGTCCCGTCATCGTCTTCAAATCAAATCCCTAATTCGTCGCTGATGCCAGGTTCGATCCTCTTTCCGTCTTTCGGTGATCCAATGATCGATGTACACCTATCCCAGATGCAAGGGGTTGTTGGGCATGTCCCACAATCCACTACTACGACTGGTGGTGGTGATGGGGGGGGAAACAACGGTACTACGCCCCCATTGGATTACGGTGGATTCCCGCCCAATGGGAATGGGCAGGGAGCGGGTCGACGTCAGTTGAGCCTCGCTGGTGGCGGAGGAGGACCTCCGGATGATCCACCCGATGATGAGGATGAGGATGACGACGACGAAGGAGATGAGGAAGACGAGGAAGAAGAAGAGGAAGAAGACGATCGGACACGGAGGAGACGAAGGAGATCGAGAGATAACCGAGAGATCAAGAATGATCGACCGAGAATCTCGAGGAAAGAGGCCGAGAGAGTATCTATTCCGGCCTGGCCAAAGATCCATCAACTTGACACCTGGAAGATGCAACTGCTGATGAATGTTCTGAGCGCATGTGCAGATCCAGATACCGACGCATGGACGAAATGGCTGGAGCAGGCTCTTGGGTTGAACCCAGACCTGGATTTGCTTAGCGATTCAGGTGGCGACAGATTTGCTACGATAGATATTAAGATGGCCATGGGCATGCAGAACATGCTGAAACAAGCACCTGACGAAGCCAAGGACGTATACCTCGATGCTACACGACACTCTGAACTACGACATCAACAAGGGGTGATCGTGAAGGGACGAGAGTTGGTGGCATTAGTTATGCAATCATTCAGAACTTCCGATAGAACGGATCTTGTCTACCACATCGAGCATCTATTCAACCTTGACTTTCCTGGCGACAAGAACTTGGTCATGTTCAGGAACAAATGGTATGATTTGCTGCTGAAGATGAGGAGCGAGGACAGACCCAGTAAGCTGGCTCTCAGAGACATCCTTTACAGGAAGATCAAAGGGAGCAAGAAGATGGAGTTCGGCCTCAATGCCTACCATAGACTACCGGACAAGCATCCTCAGAAGACGTATGAATTCTTATTGGCGTTGATCGACTATCAGATCAAGGCAGATCGGGAAGACCTGATGCTCGACATGAAGGAGAAATCGGTCAAGTCGATGATGAAGTCAGGCGGGAAGGATGCGGCTCCAGCAACTGGCAAACAGGAGAACCAGGGTGGCAAGGGCAGAAAGGGGAAACCCGGTGGACCTGATGCCGCTCCTGTGCTCCCAAAAGCCAAGGCAAAGGGCCACGCTGGCAAGAACGGCAAGTCCGACGGTGCCAGCGACAGAGGCAAGAGTCCGGGCGGAAGCAAGGATAACCCCTGCTGGTACCACTTCAAATCGGCGAAGGGGTGCGTGAAAGGGAATGAATGCACTTTTTCCCACAGCAAGAAGACGGAGCATAAGTTGGAGAGCATGTCCAAGGGGAAAGGAAAGGGCAAATCCAAGTCCAGATCATCGTCACCAAAGAGGGATGATGGAGCATGCTTCGCGTTTCAGAAGGGGAAGTGCGATAGGGGAAGCGCTTGTAAGT